GGGGGGGGGGGGGGGGGGGGGGGGGGGGGAGAGAGCCTTTTTTTTTTCTCATTCCCGCCTCCAGGGCTTCATTCATGACGTTCCGGGTTGAATGAACCCTCCCTCTGAACGACGAAAGCCGGAGAGATAAGGGGAATAGGGCCCTGGATGCCTCCTCTATTTATTTATACATACATATATTGCATATATTATTATAGCTGGAAACACCGGAAAACCTGCACGAGCGCCCTACATTTTTCTCGGCTCATACTTCTTCACTCTCAACCCCCAATACTCTCCAATTTTTTTAAAATAATATATATTAGGCGTATTATTTAAATGCCTAACCACGAAATTCTGATGCAAGCATAATGCTTGCATCTTTCATTGCTCGAGTTAGGAATGTAGCATTCGGAAGCAAATTACATGTAAGGTGAATAAAGAATTAATCTTCATCCAGAGGCGGAAGACCTGAAGTTGGCGGTTCGTAGATGAACACCATTATTTGCAACAAATACATATATTTAAAAAATCATTTCCTGACAGCAAATGGACACATTCCACGCTTAGAAAAACTCCCTTGGCTTCTTCCTCGCCTTGCCAACCATTCTGATCAAAATCAAAATCAATTTCCAAACGAAGCCTAAATCGTACAGGCACAACTGCTCCCTTCCTCGTTTCATAGTTTTCAAGTCACAAGAATATTAAATATCTGAGTCGACGAATATTGAGATATCTGAGGAGGAAGTCGCTGATGGAGGCGTGCCACCCATCCCGATTAAGCTTGCACGCAGAGAACCCAAATCCCATTGAAAGGTGTCGGCCTTGGGAGACATGAAAGCCAGGGATTAATCAGCATCTTCTACCCGCACAATCTCCAATTTTTTTTTCCTGCTTCTCCTTTCAGCTCCCAAACCCCCCCCCCCCCCCCCCCCCCCCCCCCCCCCCCCCCTCCAATCCACTTGTTTGGAGATTACTCATTTACAATTAATACAGTACAACTGTGAAATCCCTATGGTTCATGACTTTTGGGCCACCCTGTATACCTCAGCTCAACCTCCCCCCACCCCCCCCCCCCCCCCCCCCGCCCTCCCCATCCCTTTGCACCAGAATCTGCCGCATCATCGTCATCTGTGTCTCCTCCATTTTCTGTGGCATTACGGCCAGATGACTCCGCGGCGGAGGACCCCGAAACGATAACCCGGATTATGATGTGATGTCGTTGCGTTCCAGGTGACCAACTGGCCTGCCGAAGAAGTCGCGCGTTGCGTCGACGGTATAAGTAGGTCTGCATATTTCTTGCATGCACACTAAAATAATTCATCATTGTGATTTTACAATTGACTCGTTCTCATGGACTCATTTTTGCCTACTTACGGCTTCCACTATTTTTTTAAAATATAACATATAATATATAGCTTAATATATAACAATGAGAAACTCGCAGTTTCGGTATATTTTCAAAGAGATTTACTCGATAGGCCAAGTAGTTGGGATTCGTTCGAATACACTAATAAATTGATCCTATACTTATGAGCTATATCGCACGTCACCGATTCGTAGTGACCACATTTTACGCAAAAACTTTTGACGATCCGTACACGAGCGATCCACACTGAACCCGGGGAGGCACGGAAACGCACACAAGCACCTGGGATCCTCTGCATCCCGCGACACGGAAACGGAAAAGCGTCCCACAGAGCAAACAAACCCGAAGCCGTCTTTTCTCCTCCCTCTGCAATCGCGTATCTCCGCGAGATAAGCAAGCACACAATGCATCCTCGTTCCTGATCGCGGGCCGGTCTCCCTCTGAGCGAGATACAGAGCAGGATACGGATGGGCGAGACGGAGCCGCGACTCTGGCCTCCAGGCATTCCTCATCCAACCAGCTCCGTCTCCACCTGACAGATGTCGCCACTGCGCGGCCGGCAACGCCTTCACGCCGGCCGACTCACCTCGCGATTCATTACTCATTCCTTAATGACCGTGGGTGAAGGACCGGCGTGTACATTCCGGTACTCGCGGATCGGGTGACACGCGCGAGGTTCGCAGTCTCGCGATGGGAACCCGCGGGAACGATCTGTCGTCTGGCCCGCCACCAACTTCTTGCGATCCCCTCTCGGCAGGGATGGGCCTTCGACTCACTTCACGATTTACACCTTTCTCCCCCTCCCCCCCCCCCAAATGACCGTTCATCGTGGAAGAAAAAAAAAAGGCACATTCAGGCGAAATAGATCCTAAGCCTTCCCAAAGGAGGTCGACAGGGATGCCAGATCCCTCACATCTCAAGATAAAGAACCATCCAATAAAGAAAACAACGAAACCCCCTCCCTCCCCCCCAAGAACCCCTTCATACCCGAAATTTCGCGCTGCGATCATGGCTAATTGAACTTCGTTTGAGTGCTCTAGCAGTTGGTTGATTTATTTTTTGTTGTTCAATGGTGTGTTAGCAAGGAAAGGAGCCTAAAAATTCCTCACATTGTTCCTCGTTCGTCTTGGCTCGGTGTGCTTTCCCAGGCTCGCTCCGAGGAACAACACTGACAATGGTTTCCGGTCGAGAGCTCCCTGACCTTAACACTGACCTTGAAAGGCCTTACAGTCGGTTCCACCTCGATTCCCGCGGTTTTTTTTTTTATTCACAGATGACCGAAACTCAATGTTAATTCATGCGAGAGGTTTCGCTTTTTTTTTCTCCCCCCTTTGGGTCTGAATGGCCTTGGGATTTTTCGTCTCATTCCATGCTCGTCTGGTTTATCTCGAGTTTATATGCTGATCCAAGATGAAATTTCTTCTCTCTTTTTCCGGTTATTTTGCGGCGAGTTTCCACGAGCAAAATGCTCGCAAATAGTTTTATTACGTGACTTTCAGGTTCTCAGATAATGTGACAAGGTTTGTCTCAGGTCGAGACAAACCCTGTCACATCACGAAAAAAAAATTGGAAATAATATTTACCTGAATGCCCGCTTTGGATTCTCCTCATCCCAACAATCTTTCCTTCTTAGTGAATAAAAACGGCAAAGACCGAATTAAATGCTCCGAGATTTCAGCTTCCCTGCAATTATCTCTGCTTTAAGTTTCTTAATCCCCCTTCAATTTCTCATTACATTAAAAAATTCAATCCCCCTAGTTTCTCTTTTGCACGGATGAATATCACCGTGTCCTTCATCGATTTTGTGCAAGAAAGGAATAGCAAACTCGCGTTTCAGGCGAATGCGAATCGCCCTCACAGCAATCAATGAACCCAGCAATGAACGCACGGACTCACCTCGTGTCGCATTGCCATGCCTCACCGGGTCGCCAGTCTCACATGTCCACCTCGTGAAGCCCCGTGCCGAGGTGTCTGGTCTCGCACATCAACACTGCACAGTCTCGAAGGCCTTCGACGGTTCAATTCCCTGCAACGTCAGAATCCGTCAAGCCACAACAAACCTAGCCCTAGCCTAAAGTTGACGGGCCTAGTGTTGCTCGTCGTCGAGCAAGACCGTAAGGGTCTCAATTCTAGCCATATTGTATCCGAGTGTAGAAGACATGAGACGTAATACGAGTTCACTGCATGTCCCTACCATTAACACAGGCCTTCGGCATCACTCGGCGGCGGCCATGCTCCTTTTCGGTTCCTTTCCTGCGACATCTGTAAAAGCATTCACTAATGACATGCTTCTACTCCCATCCTCCAGAGTGCACTAGTCGCTCAAGCTCTCACTAAAACGTGCCCGTTCCAGATCCAAGATTGCCAAAGAATGCGCGAGGTCGCAAGTACGAGCGTAACCTGAAATTGGACGCAAGTCGCGGGCCTGAGGTCGCTTGCGCAGTGCTGCTACAAGTGCATCGCGTGATATCATCATTGGTGACGTCATAGACCACTGATGATGTCACACCTACAAAGGCTTGGCTTGTCCCTCGTGGCAATTGGAATGGGGAAAGGGCTCAACCCGTACTATCTCTTTCATCAAGAGCTACGAATCAGGAGGCGGTGGATGTAATGCATCCTGTCCAATAAAGAAGTTTTACGTTTAACGTGATTCTATCATGAAACGTTCAGCAAGGTGGAGATTTATCCTCTGTCACATGAAGAAAAGAACATGACCAAACACTATTTTTGCTAAATAAAAACGCACATAACCAAAGCCTGAATGCACTTCTACAATAACCCAGTGATGTATTACAAGATGAATTTTATTTTCGAATTTCAACTTCAAGGGAGAGGCAGAAAATAATGTTATTCAGGACATATAATCAGAAGTTTAAAACAAAACTTGTCAAAGGTGCTATGGAGTTCTGCAACATGCTGAGCTGTGTCTTGCAACATTAGCAGAAAAGACAACTGGAAATCTTCAGCAACTCAAGGAAACTCAAAGACCATGTGCTCATGCATGGCATTAGAAGTTCATCTTTGGAGATTCCACCTTGGAGAGCATCATGATTCACTTTTTCCTGAAGAAGCATGTTATGGATGCCTGCTTGCGGAGGTTCCGCTTTGGGGACGATGCCTCCTCTCCCTTCATTGGTGCCTCCTCCACCTTCTTTGTCGGCAGGGGGTCTTCTTCGTCCTCTGACTCACTGCACGACTCCATCACCCTCTTGGTCACTGCCAGATACCACATCGTTGCACAGTCAGAGCATGGAAACACGTACCAAATATTCACACTTGAGTAAAATGCAAAAATGCAAAATTGCAGTGAATGTGTGATCCTTCTCAATTAACCCTTATACAGGCAAGGGGAAGCAGTTGGGACTCCTGAGCCTATTTTTGTTATTGAACCTTAACCCTTTATATTTGTGCTTCCAAAAACGACTATCTCTCCAGTGCCATAAAGTTTCTTAGCATTACTTTCTTGAGTTACAGATGGCACTATCTTTCCAGAATGTCCAAGTTAAGGGAAATTTGTCTGTCTCCCTCTTTGCTATCTAAAAGAGATTGCAATCTGAATCAGAAGCCAATTCACATTTATCTTAATCCCTCTTTTTTTCCTGAATTTAAGCCCAGATCAGTAACTGACACAGACTTTATGGATCTTATCCAAGCAGAGTATCCCATTCATTTATGGTTTTTCCTTTCTCCACAAAGATATGTAGGTATGGCTACAAAAAAAAAAGGTGGAAAATTTGGTGTACTTTCTCAAATAATGGGTTGGTGGACCTATGTATCATCGTATCATCTGTCTGATGAATAGCTGTGTCAAGGGGAGCTTTAATCAAACTGACCATGGTGGAACAAAAAGGTAAAGTCTTCCCATTTGGGGCAGCAAAAGGGATGGAAGGAAAGAGGCTTCACCATAGCATTTGCTCATTGATTCCCCTTTCCCTTTCATTGATCATACACTTGCTCCAAAGCTACCTGACATGTTACTATCTCCCTTTCTCCCTTTTAACCCATGATTTGAGCAGATATACTATATCCAAATGGGTGCATTCCTACTTTTCAGGTTTGTGGAAATCCTAGAACAGATAATTTCATTTGATTCTTATCTATTACCAAAACGTCACAGCAGCAACTGCCATATAGTTAGAACTGAGTGGGTCTATTGGGGTACAGCTGCATCACATAATGCAGGGCATAAATGGAGAAAATTGAAAAATGATACCAGTCAAGAAATGACCATCACATACCCAGGTATCCCTCGTCATCCATGTAGGTCTTGTCAACCTTCTTCATGACCCGGACATGGCGTTTCTCACCTGACCCAGTCTCAACCCGTGCAGCAACTTGTGGGGTAGCTGGTATCACATCATCCTCTCCATCTGACTCAACAGCCTGGGTTCCTGCCTTCCTCTTCCCATTCTTTCTTGGGATAGGGGATTCTGAGTCCATCTCTGTATCTGCAGCAAAAGTACAAAAAACTCCCCATGATTGGAAAGTATTGTACATCAAAAAAGGCAAATGTGAATAAGAACAGAAACAACCAATCACAAAGTGTGCATCCAGACAAATACTCAGAAGAAATAGTTTTTATGAAAAATTGTTATCAACAATTAGTTGTTGTTGTTATCAACAATTAAATTTTCAGATGCTCAATAGGGTTCCAAGATGACAATACTTCAGGTATTCCATGACCTGGAATGGAAGAGATCCCATTCTTCCATCTTGCATGATTTTGACTGAAAGTCTTCCCATGAAATCCTACATAGACTTCTTCCGAACAGAGTTAGATGCTTATCTTTTTTATTCAAAGATATCAGTTCTGGGAGAAAATGTCATCAATGGGAAACTGAATAAAGAAATGAGTTGCTTTCAGAGTCAATGTGGGTCATAATCTCTAATGTGAACAGACTTGTGGAAATAGTAATAGCATTACTATTGGCCTATAGTTCAATGCATCTTATAAGATATGGCACTCAATCCTGATGAAGTTGAGTAGCCCCAACCTAAAGGAAGGTTCATCTTGAAATGCATGATCAGTTTTTACATAATCCACATTTGAGCACTATCCAACAGTTTTACCTTTCCTCAAAAGTTTATTATCTCACTTGGCTTTGAATGCCAACCTTGTATCCTGGGGTAAATGTTCTACTGTACAGAGTGGTCCTTCGGAAATAAAAAAATGGAGACATGCAGGTCACTTTGATGAAGATCATTCCTAAAATGATAGTTAAATCACATCTTGCTTGACTGGTCTTTCATCATCGACTTACTACTGACCAAGGATATTGAATCACAAAGATAATTATATTCCAGGATCATTTCAGGGATCTTTCCACAGTCATGCTACCTTTTCATACAATAACGCACAGACAACCCTGTAATACAATTTTTGTGATACTATAAAGAGCTACAGTGCAGCTGCAAATTGAGCAATTCTTGATTTTTGTCAACTGCTCATCCTACACCATTAGGGCAAGAGGCAGGCAATGTCATACACAGAATGCTCAAACCCAAAATGGACTTGGCTTCAAAGGTCAGCTCTTCATGTAAAAACCTATTGCTTACCATAGAGGATAAGGCTTTGTTTTTCATTCTTGGTGCACATGTGATGCAAATAAAAGCCAATTTTCTTTAAATCTATTTTCTTTAGCTTCTTCCTTCTTTTGGAAGGGAAAGGCATGCTCCACCATCAGAGGTCCAAGAAAGGAAAATTTCCCTTTTGATCCATTTTGGCCTACCTCTTCCTTTAGTAGCAGAAACTGTTTTCATCTTGCTTGGGGCTGAATGACCTAGCCCTTTCTTTGGAGAAGATGATTCCTGGGTGTTGCTCAGAGTCTTCCTCGTCCGGTCTTTGCCAGGGGAAAACACAAAGGTAGCCATGTCCAACTCCAGATCATTCTCAGCTGCATATTTCTTCACTTCTGAGATTGACCGAAGCTTCTTCCCAGTGGGACTGCAAAGGAGGACATATTTCCTCACAACAAAAGTTCACTTGAGCAAGTTCTTCTCTAGGCAAGCATATAGGCATAGGATTTGATTCCTTGATGAGCTGACACCATTACAGAAGAGATAAAAATAAAGAAAGTGGAACACCAATAAGAAGACCAAGACATAGAGAGAATGAGAAAAACATCCAAAATTTGAATTATAAGTTTGTGAAACCAATGATAAGCATGATCCAATCTTGCATGTCAACATTAACTGCATGAGCAACATTACATCATTTGACATTACCCAAGCATTAGCTGCCACACTTTCCAATCAAGCAATGTGGACAAGAAATACAATCAGGGCACCATGCAGCCACTCAGCATAGTGAATAGAGTAATATATTGAGATCCAACAACCTTTCATTCTAGTGACTTTAAGGATGAGAGTAAAAATGGGAGGGACAGAAGAAGCAGGAGGGAATTGGCTAGGAGAGTACCAGGTAGCTAGAAAATCCAGGTTCTTTATGAAGCCATCACATTTGGTTGCAACCAAAATATCATGAAGGTACAATGAAAAAATACAGCTCCATAAAATAGGGACATCTCACCTAATGAAATAGATAATAACTCTTCCTGCTGATGCCCCTTTTTGACGTACATTCACATTTCGACTCCATCCTGGAGGAAGGCCTGAGACCTCTGAGATCTCCTCTGAAGTGACAACTTGAACATCTGCATGACATGATTCAGGAATGTTTGAATAGCTTCAATAACAAGGGAAATGAAATTCCCACATTAAATTGATATGCACTGTGGGAATAGAGACAGCCTTTTGAAACTACTTGATCAAGGGTCATTTGCATTTCAATCATTGTACAAAAGCCCAACAATAATAACTTGAATTGCATTCAGAAACATTAACAATGCATAATAAACTCGTTTTGCTGTGTGGGTCACATAGATTGGATCACTTCATGGGTCAAAATGTAAATTCAGAGTGCGAAAACTGACCACAACCTTATATTGTGTACATTGGGCCTAAAATGTTTCTCTCTTTCGATGCATGCAGGCTGCATTGAGAGCATTTGCAAGCTGTATGTGACCCGCAGGCCACGAGTTTGAGACCTCTAGACTAGACTATATCTTGTTTCATATGGTACCTTTGTCATCATGATCAGAGTCATCTGATTCAATCTGTACCCGGCGATGCTTTTTCTTCATTGCGGGCTCCTTATCCTTGGCCTTGTCTTTCTCTACCTGGTGCTTCTTCTGTTTGGGAATAGGGTCTTCATCACTCTCTTCCTTCTCTCTCTCTTGCTTTCTCTTGTTTTCAGGATTTCTCCAAAGCTTCTCAGGCATCTCTTCCTTCCTAGGAATTGTATGTTCAGGTTGACTCACCTGTGGAACAAACACCAATATTCAATGATGAGCAATGCATATTAAAAAATCCCAAAGCAAAGGAGAAAAATACAGAATATATATTAGGGATGCACCAATACCAATCCAAAGTAACAGTATCAGTCAATACCAAGTGAATTGGTCAGGATCAGTATAGGCAAATACCTATATGGCCGATCCTATCCAATTCTCCCTTGCTGCATGCCATACACACAGCATGTTAATTTTTGGAATGTCTTATGAAAAAATCCCACCTCCCCACTTGTAATGGCACATGGTTCCTTAACACGTTGGCGACAATTGGGAGCTATCTGCATTAGTATTGGCCAATACCAAGACACCAGGATCGGTATCGGTATTGGAATCAGCTAATCCTGGATCAGTGCATCCCTAATAAAAAACTCGGCAAAAAAAATGTTTTCTGGGACCATGCGTCCTGATGGCAGGACACATTTTTTGACAAAAAAAATGCGCGTGGTCCCACGTGGCAGACAAGCAAAAATAGGCTGGTTGTCAACGTGTTAAATACGTAATAGTTCTTGCTAATCTCCTACTCAGACAATAAGCTTGGGGGTGGTTGAAGCAGAATGCAATAAGTTTTGAGAAGGGCATTTCTCAAATGGAATGGGCATACGCATTCATTCATTCACTTTCCCCCCCTTCTGTCCAGTCTCCTGCCTTTCTGCGCTGACTGGTTTTCGCAGGCACACTTGGTGCTCACATCCATCCATCCTGCCTCCTGCTCTCCCCTCAAGCACTGATCTCAGTTGTAGTTGAATCATCTTAATCCCTCAACCTTTTGACGAGTATGCCCGTATATATATGGGCTGACATCCTCCTGCCCTCCATGTATTCACTATGGGTGATCTTCTAGACATTAAAAAATCCACTCCTCAAAGGGTTAAGGACATCAAACATAGTTCCTACCTGTACTCCTCTTCACACTGATCATCCTTTGTACGTAGTACTTACGTCCAACGTATTTTCGGCGGACCTGGTGAATGGCGAGGGAAGTTTTGGCCTATACTCAAGAAACTATTATATTGGCCATTGTAAATGTCTCCAGAGCTAAATAAATGACAGGAATTTTGAATGTTGGGTCATGAGTGTCTGAGGATTTTTTATTTCTTCTCTTCTATGCCAAAGGTAGCATAAGGCCTACTGAGGTGTGGTTCTGTATTGTGGTTTCACTTATGACGACAATTGGGAGCTATCTGCATTAGTATTGGCCAATACCAAGACACCAGGATCGGTATCGGTATTGGAATCAGCTAATCCTGGATCAGTGCATCCCTAATATATATATATATTTTTTTTTATAACTAAACATAATTACAGTATACCATACTACAAAGTAAATGAGGAGTTAAAGTTTCTGTTTTCAATTCAATATCTAATATTTTTCTGGCAAATTTATTTGAAATGCTTTGGTGTCATTTATTTACCTTTTCACTTTAAAAAATCATCCCATTCATTCATTGAGTAACTCCACTATATACTAAGTTTTCAGTCCATTACATATACAACCTATATTTACTTATGTATTCTTATTTCTCTCTGCTTACTAACCTATACAATCAAACATTTCTTGGTTTCTTATGCACCTCTGTTAATCCCTCAGCCTTGGCAGCTGCTTCCTTTGACACTTCCTCCTCTGTTGTCTCTTTGTCCTTCTTGGCCTTCCTTGAGGCAACTGAGCTATGCTTGCCAAATAGGGCCATGATCCCTGTTTTGGTCTCATTAGATAGCTTCAGTTTCTCCTCTTCTTTTCCCTTCTTGTCCCCCTTTTCTTTCACCCCCTCCTTCTTCTCATCTAGAGAATGCAGCTGAGCAAACATCTGTGCAATACCAGTCTTGGGTTTGGTTGACACCCGAACAGGCTCAGGTTGAGGCTTCGGATTGTCCACAGCAGCATGGCCATTTGTCTTTACAGATGTAACAGGAACAGCATGTTGAGTTTTGTAGGGAATTGCCTCAGGGTGTCTGTTCACTGCAAACCTGGTCCCATAAAGATATGTATTTTAAACTTAAATTCCCTAAATGAGAACTCCATAGAAGTTAGAGTTATTACCACATTGATAAGTAAAATGGTCTTTTGAAGCTGGAATATGAAGGAAAATCATTCCCACAGTGGAGGGATGGGGAATAAAAATGTAAAATTACTCTATCAAGGGACAGTTCTATTTAAGCAACATTAAGATGAAATGGGAATCCCAAAACAAAGTAAAACAACTGGAACATGAAAATCCCTGAATTGGAAATCATTTCTTGAGCTCATCTGAAGTAAAAAGTACTCTGGAAGAAAAATAAAAAAACTTCTTTGAACTTAAACTGAGGGAATAGGAGTAAAAATACTATTGCCAATGTCATGAAATCACTGGAAGGGTATTTGAAAAAGAGAAGTACAAAAGGGAGAGGCAGTGGATATAAATGATTGGACCAGTTTTGTGAGAAAATTCTCCTCTTGTCCAGGATTACCATTTCACTTGAGTAATGTCAGAGAATTCCTTGAATTGCTGATAGTCAGCTGCAAAGAGCCCATTCGAGTCAGGTAGTCTGGTCCGCTGAAGACTATATATGTACTCTGAAAGGACCTCAGAGAAGGAGGGCCGCCGTGATTCCAGCTCCTCTTCTCGAATGAGACAATGCCTCCACATGTCCTGTCCAGTTTCAGCATGTTTACATGTACCATAGACATAGAAGATTGCAGTCAATTTTGAATCCTTGTTCTTATGCTGTTCCCAATAGTTCTTCAGGATTCTGGAAGAAGAAACATGCACCCATATCACCTGGAAAAAAAAGCTTATAAAGAAGCTCAAAGAGGGAAAAATGATGCTTGTTCATAAATGCAAAGATTAATGGCATGTAAGACCCAAAAAACTGCCTAGTTGGTAAAAGGCATTAAACTGAAGAAAAAAATAGAATATGATAAATATTGCACAATATTCATTAAAAAAAAAAAAACCTGGGAAATGCCAGGTAGCAGATAAAAACAAGCAGTTGTTGTTGGGTATACCTAAGCCTTATAAATGACTTTTAGGTTCACACTTCTGAAAGAGTCAATGACACTCACTTCTTTGCAACATCAGGATGGATGGTTAACTGCCTGCTCAACCACTTGAATGTGACCTGGAATGTTCATGAATGGGCTACAATTTGGACATATTCACAATGTGAAAATCATGAGATTACAACTAGTCATAACATAATGACTATCACATTAACTATGGGAGGAGATCCTTGATACAGGAGCAAACATTCTAATTCAAGCTAATTCAAACTGGAGGTGAATTAACCATGTCTCTCATGGAAATTCACAAAGCCTCAAACTGTATCCCACAATAATAAGTATAAAGCCAGAAGCTTCAAAATAAAACATTCAAAACATGGATCACAGTATGATTATAACTTATCAATCCAACCTTCATTGAAGCTTGCCATCTCAACTTCATATGGAAGGAATCTTTCCTTTAATTTCTCCAAATGTGCCCAAGAACTAATGGCTACATGAGTTGGCTAACATCAACTTTAAATGATTCAATTAGAGAAACAGGCTGGCATATGATCTCACTGTTTCCAGGTCTGACAAGAACCAACTATTCAACATTTTCTAAATTTGCTTTTAAGACCACCAGAGGTGAAATGGTCTTATATCATGGCAAAAGTATGTATTACATGATGCAAATCATTAGACCCCCACAAAGCCAACAGATGTAAGCAATATGGAGCTATACACAATGTATACAAATAGCGTACATTATGTGCATACACTTAGCACAAAATGCTTGATAGACTATGCCTAAGCTTACCTTACCAATTTGTTCTCATCCATGAGATACTCATCCAAATTTTCCATACAAAGGGAAAACTCTTCATCTGGTATAGAAGGCATGTCTGGTCTGATGCAATGGACAAGCCTAACCCAAGGTTGGCTCTCTTGGTTTCAAGGTCAAACCTGCTTCAGTCTCCAGAATAGCACAATCATTAGGTCTTAGCCAACAAGTTAGCAACAGCCAGGCTATGACTCAGTGATACACAATTGTTGCACAGGCACACGTTATATTGACTTCCACTAAATCAAGAATGAAGGGAATCCCCTTTTCCTGCAAGACAAAGTGACTTGGTTCCTTGCCTAGGATTAGTGAAGGGTAACAATACATACTGAAACGCGATGGAACAAGACAGGGTTGGTAGCATAACTTGTCAGATTCAAGGAAAACACGCATTGAACTTTACTAACAAGCACTTCAACATTACAAGACAATGGTAGTCACTCCACGGTTTTCAGAATAATCCTGACGCCAGGATATGCAATTTGCTGCGCTCCACGGACAGCAGCTAAAATCCACGTGAGACAAGTTCGACTGCGGTGCCATTGAGCCCTTGCCGGGCTCACAGTGATGCCGCAGTGAGCAGTGACGGACTACATACGAGGGCTGGTCAATGTATTCTCGGAAAAATGCTTTTATTGTTCTCTGATTTCGCCAATTTTTTCAGGATACTTTCTTTAACATATTAGTACTTCTCAAAATATATTCCGCCATGATCGATTCACTTTTTCATGCGACCAAACCATGCAGAAAAACAGTCCTGCAAATCAGCTTCTGAAAACTTCTCCAGTTCCTCTTCCATCGCCTTCACAAGATCCCCCTGCATGTCAAAACGCCTCCCCTTCAGGT